CGCGCAGCCCGGCGGCTCCGGAACGGCCGCGCGGCAGCGGCGGAGGCGGCGCGGGGCGGGAGAGGCGGCGGAGGCCGCGCTGAGCCCGCGCCGGCACCGCCGCGGCTCCGGGCGGGCGGGGAGGCTCCCGGCGAGGGGCCGCAGCTCCCGGGCAGTGCCCGAGATTCCCACCTGCGGCCAGAGCTGCTCCACGAGCTCCCGCCCTGCCGGGCTTCTCTTCTGGGCAAAGGCTGAGCCCTGGTTTTTGGGGTTTTTCGGGTGTTTTTTTGGTTTTGTTTTGGGTTTTTTGTTTTGTTTTGTTCTGTTTTGTTTTTTCTCTACTCATGTTTATAGGACCTGACCTTACTGTTTTTTATTTGTGGGCTCATATTTTGTTCCCTTGTGAAGATTCTATTCTACTTGGAATTGTTGCGGCTGAGATTATAATCATCAGCCTAGTACAGCTACCTATTTGAAATGGTCGATCAAACAAAAAATGAAGCAAAAAGGAATCAAAACATACTAGTTCCGTTGTTTTTTAAATTATCCTTTTGTAATATATCTCCTGTCACCATGTTTCACTGGAATGATTTTGTAGAGCCTAATATTTCCTGAAAAGCTTGCTTGCTGGTCTTCTCTTCTTCCTACATGTAGCAATTTAGAGTTAAAATTAATTATCCCCTTAAATTATGTCAACTACTTGCTTTTCACCTGTTGTGTTGTAAATGTTTTTAAACCCATTGTGGAAGTAAATGAGAAAGAAAGATGGTGAAATGATGACACTGCACATAATACATGTGCCGCCTACTGTTGGACATTTTAATTCATATTACAAATATAATTATTAATCTATTACGGTATTATTTATAAATATTTATGTTGCGACAGATGAGGCTAAAGAGAATACTCCCTGCATTTGTAGTAAAGCAGTCAGGCTTTTAATCTGTTTCTATGTGGAAAATACTTTTAAAATATTCAAATATAAAATCTAAAAATTTTGTAAAAAAACCCAAACCAACAAACAAGTGGTTGGTAGGAAAAAGCGATATTAATCTGTGTCTAAATTTAAAAACACTAACCCAAAGTCCATTATTAGACATTTTTTATTTAGCAACAGAGTTTTGGTTATGAGTGGCAGCTGCAGAGCAGGCGGTGCTGGGTGAGAGTTCTCAGTGATGTGCCTCTTGCATTCCTCTGGAATGTGCATGGCACAAACATTACATCTGCTCTGGGCTGCATGGATAAAAACAAAGCCACTGCTGCCATTAATATTTGCATGCCAGAATCGAACCTGCTGGGCTTTCTCCAGTGCAATTGACAGAAAATGTGCTCCTCCCTTCCTAAACAGCTTATAAATGAACATGAAAAGCCTAGCATTTCTATTTCTCCTCTTCTGCATTTCCATAATTCAGGGAGAAATTCCTTATGTGGGAAGGAACCTGCCTGACATGTTTTCACTCTGTCAATATTAATGCTTTGCAGAGGTGACTAGATAAATCAACAGTTTATTTGTGTCTCGGGCAAAAGAGGCCATAAAAGTAAATGACTGTGAGGAGAACAAAGTGGAGTAAAATGTCAAGATTTGTGCAGGGGTGTGGGGAAATCAAGGTTGTTTTTTCATCTTTTAATTCGTAGTCCATTTTGACATGCATTCAGGATTGTGTTTTCTTCTTCCTATCCTGAAGAAATGACCCCAAAATAAATTATCGAATTAGAGACAGAAGTCATTTTGGTAACATGTCTTGCTGTCTCAGATGGTACCAGAGAAACTGCTAATTAAATGGAAGAGGCCAGTTCTGAAGTGTGCTTCATGCTTCATCATGAAACTGAAGTATCTGTCCAGTTTAAGAAAATTATGCACATCACAGTGACTTAGTAAATTTCATATTTGTAAATCACAAAATATTCTCAGCTATTTATTATAGACTTTATAAGGTCTAAGATTCCTGTCTTTCTTTTATCTGTATTTTTATTTACAGCAGTTTTCAGCAAGTCTCCCAGGATTTTTAGAACTGGAAAGGATTTCTAGTTTTTATAATACATACTGACAATAAGTTTGTACATATGAAAGTTTTACAAAGAGGCAATAGGTAAAAACAAATGTACCTTTATCTGTCATGTTTTGTATTTTCTCTGTCATAATATTCTACAAGATGGCCAACAGAGAAAAAATGTAGAAGTGTGGATGCTATTGTGCTTAGCTAATACAATAATTTCTATGAAAAATATGATTGGTTTAACTTAATTTATGTACATTAGAGTAGTCAGCACAAAGCAGCAGTGTTGTTGCCATGTAAACATTATATGTTTGTGCTGTGGAGATTTCAGAATTTCAAAAAATGAGGTCAGTGGCTACCTGACCTGAATTTCCACAACTATATTAGAGAGGAAATTGGTTCTAGTATATAATTTCCTGGAACATCCTCAGGGAGTACACTGTTATGATTACTCAGTGGCTTTAAATCAGTGCAGCGGCTGGAACAATATTTATAATATTTTTGAAGATGAAATGATGGATAGCATTTTGGCTAATGACTCCCTTCAGTTTGTATCATGGTCAAACTGGCATTGAAGGGTTGGCTGTGTAGCACAGCCCCTGCCAAATGGCAGAGTGCAGGTACAACAGCAAAGAATGAGAAGGATTATTTTGCTAATTCAGAGATAGGTAATTACTTCCATTAACTTTAATTTTTAAGTGTTTTGCCTCTGAACAATTGAATAACGTTGATAAAATGTGGTTGAATAACTGAAAGCACAGTAGGTCATGGTTCATGTAGAGAATCATTATACTGCAGATTTCAAAGGGATCAGGTAGGAAAACATTCTCAAATTGATTGACCTACAGTGTGCAGTTAATATCCTCTCAAACTGTTGGAAACACAGAAGAGTAACTAAATTCAGACAGGCAGTCTTTCCAGTTGCTAAGGAGAGAAAGCAAAACTCCTGTTCATTCCCAGACTTTACTGTGCTTATGTCTATGGAATAATTCTGGGCTCCATCCCAAAGTCTGTGTGGACTTTAGCTAAGGTCAAGCCCTAAAATTACTTCAGAACATTTGCATGCATTTTTTAGGTGTCAGTCAGCAAATTTCATTTGAACAATGGGAAAGAAGATGCTCCCTTGGGTAAGAGGGACATAAAAATGTGATTCTGCAGCTCCTTCAAACTGTTGCTTCACTAAAATATTGACTACAAATATGACTGAGTTTGACTTGGAAGAGTATTTCAATAAGCTGTGGCAATAACTACACTATTTTCCACAGTTTTGTTTTTTGGTGGCAAGATTTTTTCCACTTTATGAGATTTAAAAAAATAGGAGGGTTAGGCTTACAAAACCTTACCAAATATATCCGAGCCTCAAATGTAGCCTTTTCAGCATAATACTAAGGAAACATATTTTTATCTCTTACTAGCAGTTCTCTAAAAAGGCTGATTTGGCAGTGTGCAGATTAAAGGGAAAAAATAAATATATTCCAGGTAGTATGGTATTGTGTGCAGCAAAACTAAGTGTGAGTGAAATTTCTTTTCAATTACTTCAGCTGTATCCTCATCAGCACAGCTCTACTGATGGAATTTCTTTAATTTCCCATGGATATTTTCTGTCCTTTAGAAGTTTCTCTGAATCCTTATTTTTTATGGTATGGATAGGTCTGTGTGAAAATCATGTCTGGTTAGGCAAGACAGGCAAGAACTCTCTTTGCCCCATGCTATTCTAGCTCAAATTTCAAAATTTAACAGTAATTTTGAATTCCTCTTCCTGTGAACCTCCTCCTGTTCCTTTCTTGGAGTTCACTCATACTTTTGAATAAAAGATTAAGCCTTTAATTTCAGCTGGTGAGGTCTGTTAGCACTTACTCCTAAAACACATTTTACAGTTGCCATAAAGAATCCTACACAGAGCTTCAGAAATGTCTGAAAGGTCTCTCACTCTGTTAGTCAGTAATGTGCTGCCAGCAACTCCTGGTGTGCTGCTCTTACATAACCAACTGGGAGCTTTTTAATCAATCAGGATCAGAAAAAAAACCAAATTATTTTGTGTGAAGGAGGGATGATTGAGAATACAAATAATAACAAAGACTTCATTAAAAAAAAACTGATTTAAAAAATCAGTTTTTAAAATTTCAAATTAAATCAGATTTTAAATTTTCCACTTCAACATTACACTGAGTAGAAAAGTTGGACATTAAAATAAATGCACTTTAAAATGCAGTTCAGTTATATTATTACAT